AGCCTCGTTCACACCACGCGCGTGTGTGTATGCGTACAGTGCAGAATTTCGGTATTATCCGGTCAGAGAGAGTATCGATATGATTATTTGACCGTTAAAACGTTTGATAAGTTATATAGGTTTGCAGGGATCGCGAGGCTCGAGGGCCACGGCTGACAATGGGGAGGCCGAGGGATTTTAAAGCTGCATAATCTTCCGATGGGTTGCAGCATCATTTTTCGTCCGCCCGTTTTTCCCTGTTGCGCGCACTCGCCCCTCCGGCAGATTAAAGATTCCCTCCCGCGAGCCTTCCATTCGATCCAACTCTATATATCTCGTATTATACACTCCCCGTAGGCCTCTCCCTGCTTTCGTTTCACCGTTTAGGTACTTAGCCTGGCTAGTTCAGGTTCACGGGACTAGATCTAGATCGAATCTCTCGCTGTTCTAAAGAAAACTGCCTAGCTATTTTATCAAGTCTGTCAAGGACGTATTGTAGCGTTGCCCTGCTTTGTAGTGTAAACATATTGTTGTGGAATATCGCCATGTAGCGGAGAACGGTTGTACCAACGTTGTTTAAATATTTTGGAAAGATGTTTTCCAGGTGAAAGAGAAAGGACCGTTGGTAGATAGAAATATTATCTTAATATTGTTTTTTAATACAAATTTTATACAGCGAAACTATACCCCTAGTGCGCTCTTTCGTTTTGGGTCCAAAAAGACCCGAGGACCCCCTTTCGTTCGACTACGGCGGGTCAAAAAAGACCCAAAGGTCTTTCGTTCGACTATTTCGGGTCAAAAAAGACCCAAACACTTCCTTTTGACTATTTCGTGTCAAAAAAGTCCCAAAGACCAACTATTTCGGTTGAAAAAAGTCGCAAAGACCTTACGTGTAACAATTCTTGTTACCGTCCATATGAACCTAGACAATGTACTTTGAATATTACATTAAGGGAATATAAACGTGATAACAGCAAAAGTTATTAAAAAAATAAAAAAGCGACGGGTCAGAAAAGACCCGGGGACCGTACTAGGGTTAATACCGATTCTAATTTCACGTCTTTATCATTCCTAAATAAAAGACCTTGGTTTATTGTACGACTATTTGCATTTTATGCATTATTCAGTACGAAGGATTTACTTCTAACGCACACCAACTGAATTCACATAAAGTCTAACGTTAAATCCAGTCGCGACTTATTATTATAATGAGAGAACAGTAAGGGATCGCATGCCGTCCTTCTATTTCACGCTATAAATTGAATCGTACCCCCTATTATACAGGGTTGGGCTAGGTTCTCAGGCTTAGGTATATAGAATATAAACTGGATCTAGGGCAAATCCTCCGAACCTTCTTCCGAACCCTCCGATCAATTGTGAGAAACTGCACTTTGTTGTAGTTCGCCGTTTCGTTCAATTTGCAATTTACAAACGTAAAAACCAATAGGTGCACGTTCTACCTTCGTACAAAATTGACAGAAAATTGACTAGATTTCATTAAACGTGTAAATTCTGTGAAAGAAACGAAACTTTTACACGGATATGGTCAAACACGGAAACTTCGTAGTGGAAGTTCTATTTTAAGGCTGGAACTTTGCTGGCCTTCGCGAGTGCACCGCCCCGAAACACGAAACTTCCGCAGCTAGCCGAATGTCGCTCTTCCTGTTCTGCACAGGCGAAACACACGCCGCGTTAAAGTTCATTACAAGCTCTTTAAACTCCGTTACGATGAAAATGGAAATTAAACAGAAATTTCGGAGAGACGTAATCCTGCAGACGTGCAAAATGCATAATCTGATTTTTTAATCCTTCGTCGAGGACCAACGGACGCAGGGCGGAAAATTCTTTTCCTCTCGTTGTGTATTACATGTATATGGAACTGACGAAAAACAGACAAAGGAAGAGAGGAAATCGGATCGGCGAAATAATCCGTTCGTTCGTTCCAAGTCTTTGCGTCTAGGGAAACTTGAAATGTAAACTCCGGGAGGCTTTGCTACTCGCAAATGCAGATCGCACAACGCATTTCCTCGAGTTAAGTGTCCACGTAAAGGATTTACATAATCCCCGATTGACAAAGAAACCAGATTACTTTTAAAACGCACAGAGATCCGAGTGTATTTGCACAGCTACCGATTTTCTACAGGCAAATGGAATTAGTAATAGTATCGTTGGCGATTTTGGATCTTTGCTCTTAACTGCCCGCCATTTTGGATTTGTACCTATGTGAATTCACATGGCGGAACAAGTTGAATACTAATGACGACTTATTTCGCAAGATTTTTGAAGAGATCGTAGCGTATGGGCTTCCAGAGTGACATTTCTACCTAATTTATTGCTATTTGTTGCTCTAATACTGCATACATTTATTTGAACAGTTTCAAAATACAGTGGAACCTCGATAACTCGAAAACCTCTACAGAACTCTGTAAAACCTCTGCAACTCGAAGTAAAACTTACGTTAACTCGAATTATTTTCGTTTAATACGTATTTCACCTCTACAATTCTAATTCAGAAGAACTCCGACCTCCACGAGTCTACTTCTGTATATCATTCAATCGGTTCGACAACTCGATAAATCGAAACCTGAAGACTTTTCCCCATCCCCTGTTCCCAAAAAGTATCTCTTCTTTGCTGCCAAAGGCGCCATTTTATATACCAGTCAGAATCCAGTAAACAGTGAAAAGCCGTAAAACACAAAAGATCGTCAATTTTGAATGTACAAGGTGTTCCAAATTTCCAAATAACTAAAACCATTCCTACAAGCCAAAAATTATAAATTTAGCCTAAATAGTTAACAATTTCCTCGAATCATGTCACCCTTGGAAAATTTCCACTATCCGTAGATCCTACCCCAGGATCTTCGCTTTCGCGTAATTCTCCATCCAGCAAGCCCTGGCCAACTATCGAAGGATCAACGAGAGGTGCACGAATGTATTCGGCGCGCGTTCTCATTGCACGGACATAGATTGGTGGCGCGCGCAGTGTCACATAGACGGGAGCACGCATACGTTCTGGGAGCACGCAACTGGCACACGCGCTCCCCCCGACATCGGCATATGGCGCGCATGGTCCCCCTTTTCAGTTCCGTGGGAGAAGAAACGAGGGGGCTGCGGCGCGTGCTCAAAATCCCCACCATCTCTTCCCCCTCGTGCAACACGCGTTTCTCTCACGTACCCTCTCTCTCTGTTACTCGCACGTCCGTGCGCACTTCTTTCCGTCTCTCACAGGCCCTAATTCCCTCCACCGCCCCTCTTCTCCGTGACGAAACGTACAGCCCTCTGTCTCGCTCTGCACCACGGCAAAATGTTGAAACCTAACCCATCTATCGGATGTCCGCGCTCATTCTGAACGCGGACGCCATGCGGTGCGTAGCACGGAGGTCTGATCAGAAACGGGAGCTGGTATTCGCCGGGAAGAGCTGCGGGAAAAAGTGACCGATGACAGAAAACGCTGGAGGGAAGCTCCGATAAAACCGGGAAGAAAATTTTCCGACCAGACCACAGTGTTCCGAAGTGACCGCGGTCTACCGCTCGTTCCTCGAGCACGATTCTACGGGGTCGCGAGTGAATTTTCCGCGCGGGACCAGTCATGTCGAACGAGTGAATTTTTCTTTTCCTTTAAGATTCTCGTGTGAACGACGTCCTCTTCGTCGTTGTTGGTTGGACGCGTGCTTCTAACCCCCACCGACTCACCTTTCTCTACCCCTTTTACTCCCTTACCTGCCATATGTTCGCGTTCATCCATGGCGAAGTACCAAATAGACGCCTAACCCTTTTCTTCTCTCCAGCACGATGGTTCTACGCGACACGATGTTACCGTACGATTGACGGCGAATTACTCGCGACGATGGTGATTTCACGTTGAAGAGGAGAATCGCGGGAAACTCACTGTGCCTTACTTTACCTTCAACGGAACAAGTGATTTTTAGTCGTATAGACAGAAGTGTGCCTTTTAACGCCGAAACAACAGAGTGCCTGGGAACGTGAACGAGAGATGATTTCTTTCTGCTATATTGTACACTGTTAAGATCGTATAGGATCTTCGTGCAAAGTCGTTCAAGTGCTTTTCCTTGTAAATATAGGAGTAGACAATTGGTGCTATATATCATTCCTCTCCAGTCATATTGTGATAATACGATTCGAAAGATCTCGATTCCGGGCGAGTACGACGCAACACGTTGCAACTGCGTCGTGCAACGCGAGAAATCCAATACTGATAATGTATGAAAAGGGAAAAATGCGCGACGGAGATTCAGCGAGATTGTGAAGAATAATTTCCAAGGAGTCGACGACCGTCGCGGAGAAGAATAGACGGTGACCTCATGCTTTACTTAGGTCGTTGTGACCGACAACGAGACAATTGGATCTTGGTTCGGGTCATCAGGTTCGCCATTTGGTAGAGAACACAGACTGACCCGTGTCGACCGTCGAAAATTCCTCTTGCACCGAATAGATCACTAAAAAGGAAATACGCTATCTCGCACCTGTTTTCACTCGCAAAAAGTCACGGAAGAAAGTAGAAAAGGAAGAAAGTTCGATATTTTTTATATGTTTGCCAGGAGAAATATCGTGAACCGTGGAGGTGTTACTTTCACGAAAGCCAAACGACCAAGTTTATCAATGAAATTTCGATATTATCCACGCAATCTCGACGATCTTCAGCGTCTCAATTCTCGTAAGATACTTTGACCCAGATCTAAACGCTGAATCGAACAGTCGTCCAACCGTCTATGTTGATAATCATCCTCGCGTTCGAGGGGAGAGCGCGTTTTATTTATAAGTCTATCAATTAGACTCGTCCTCGAAAGGCATTAGAGTCGATAAGTAACTGGTCGACAACGCTATTCTCACGACATAAACTCGCTCTACTACGATCGCTCCACGATACCAAGCGTAACGTCATATTTTCCAAGCGAGAAACAGATCCGTCAGCTTACCTCGAGGGACCAATGAGACTTTCGTACAGCGAATTATACTTTTCAACCAGAGTGTCGAAGTAAAGGAAAGAAACAGCGATCACGATGACGACTATGGGTGTCACGGTGTTCTGCAACAGGGTACAAATAAACGGGAACGATCAGGAGCAGCTGATGCTGTTGAGAACGCTGCAGGATAACGAGAGCAACATAATCGGCAATCAGCCTCACTTGATCATCCCGAAAAACAGCAACAACGGTGGTAACGCGGATTCGGTGACAGTACTGCCGCCGTACGATCCATCCAGATTGAAGAAACACGGGAAGAACGGTCAACCGCCACCGGTGGCGGTCGCGCGAAGAAACGCTCGCGAGAGGAATCGCGTTAGACAGGTGAACAATGGATTCGCTACCCTAAGACAGCACATTCCGAGCCACATAGCCGCGGGCTACGGAGACAGAGGTAAGAAGCTGTCGAAAGTGGAAACCCTGCGAATGGCCGTGGAGTACATTAGGGGACTTCAAAGGCTGCTCGCCGAGGCTGATGGGGTTGAATACGATTCGAAGGTTACCGCCGCGCAATGCGCGCCTTCACCCACCAGCAGCGGTCCTGGCCGACGACGACGTGGAACAGCTGGAGGACGACGAGGAGAACGGGAAGCAAAAACTTACATTCAAGTAATTGCTTATACAGTTTTTTGGGGGGGGCTGGGTTACTTGCTAGGTTAATTTGGTCTAGGTACTTCTTTTCTAATTGACACTGGAACGATCGGCCGGGTCAAAAATGGGTCAACTTGATTTATTAATTTTACAATCACATAAAAATTTGCTTTTCGAAGGTCTCTAATGGGTCAACTTTGACCCGGCCAGTCGTTCTAGTCGAGTCAGAATTTCAGTAGCTAGCGCTTATCTGCATGGCTAACGAAACAAGCCAAGTGGTTAATTCTAACGAATAATGAAAATTGCATATGAATAGTATGATAACGGTTACGTTCATGTTATTGCAGACTGTCGCCGAATCGAAGCGCGGTTCCATCGCCACGCGACTACTACGCGTCCTCGGTGGGGGACGAGGAGAATTTCGAACCGAGGACACTATCGAACGCGCAGAATTTTTCCCGTCTCTCCCCTAACTCGGTGGCGTCTCCTCCTTCCGAGTATTATGGACAAAACGAGGAGAACCTCGAGCCTCGGATTCTGTCGCCGTACAGCGGTGCGGAGGACAGTGAAGAGGGTGCGGCCACCGTTTACGCGGCGAGTCCGGAAACCTTTTCTGGTGCCCTGTATTGTAAGCAAGAGATCACCGAGTCTGGTGAATTCATGGACGTCGTCAGCTGGTGGGAACAGGAGCAGGGCAGGCTAGTACATCAGCAACACACCCAACGTCTCACACATGTGTAATAAAAAGGTTGGTGTACTTTCGTTTCCTGTGTGCAATCTAAAAATTTTAAGTATCAACTGCACACTTTGAATTTCGAGGCGACCTTGAAATTCTGCGACAATTTTCAACTGTCCCCTCGATATTGTGCAATTTTTACAAACAGACCCGGGCAATGTTACCTCACATTGGTGAAAATGACAGAGTCCTGGTGGAGTAGAGTGTTCGTTGGAGCACTTTAAGTGGCTTGAAAACGACAGGGCTGTCGATGGTAGCCCGCGCACGTGACAACTACTTCAAGGAAGCGTCGCTAAGTGGAAACTCGTATTCGGCGTTTCCTCTCGAACACGTGCTCAAGCGGCGACGCTCCCGAAAATAAACTTTATGTGTGTCCGAAACCACTTTGCGAAGTGCGTGCCGAAGTGACACGTACGGCTCGTCCCATTCCTCGATAGACACTTCCTATTTCGAAAACTGTGCAATTCTTGTAGGAAACGTCCCTACAAAATGTTCAGTGTACAGCAGAAATATCTCGAACGACGAAGTTAAGTTACACACCGTGTGTTTGGTATTCACGTTCTACTTCGTCGATTCGTAGATGCACGTCAAAAGGGAAGATAATGCAGACTCTGAAGACTCGCTATATAGCGTTTATCTCGTGATAAGATTACGGCTGAAGTGTACTTCGCGTCGATATTCAGGCGAAATGTCGATTCGTAGATGCACGTCAAAAGGGAAGATAATGCAGACTCTGAAGACTCGCTATAGCGTTTATCTCGTGATAAGATTACGGCTGAAGTGTACTTCGCGTCGATATTCAGGCGAAAGCAGTCCTTCTCGATGCAACATGTGAAGTATCCTAAAAGAGAGCATGTGTCGGGGAAATTTCAACTTCACGCCAGCTCTGGTGCCAATGCGGTGCCTTCAGAAGCTCGTAACCATGAGAGAGCCGAGCTGTTCGACCATTTTGCCATATGTTAGATACCCTCCTCGAAATATCTCTTCCTCCAGACCTTGCCCAATCTTCACTAGCGTCTAATTACTTCTTTTCGTGGTGGGTTCGTAGAGAGACGCAAATAGAAATTGACGATTTCGTTAGAAAGAGATACGCAACGAACGCATTCCGTCGAGTCAATCGGATAGAACGTTTGATGCACGTGCACACGTATCGATTCTTGAGGCAACCATAAGGCGACAGAAGCTTTTCGTATTCCTAACATATGGGTAGCGAGCAAACAGTTGTTAAGTAAAGAATACGGGAAACAATTTCGTTCAAATTGAACAAGCTTCCTATCTTACGCTTCTTCTTTTCTTCGAGACAAATCTACGTTCGCTACTTCGATATGTACAGGGTGGTCGTGTTTAATTGGTACAGAAGCTGTAGGACTCGATCTGTGACACGAGGACAGAGAATGAAATGATTTTGTGCGTTCTGCGTTCACTATTTCTCTAATTCTGCTGCTTGGAGTTGAAGAAAATTAACGGTACATACAGGGTGGTTGCATTGAATTCACACAGAAAGTGTATACTCCATGTGTGACACGAGGACAGAGAATTAAATGATTTTCTACGTTCTACGTTCACAATTTCTCTAACTCTGCTACTTGGAGTTGAAGAGAATTAACGATACATACAGGGTGGTCACATTTAAATCACACAGAAACTGTACTCGAGGTGTGACACGAGGACAGAGGATGTTCCTTGAGAGAAATGATTTTCTACCCTCCCAATTTCTCCACTCTACGCTTAAAGTTAAAGAAAATTAAACGATATATACAGGGTGGTCACATTTAAATCACACAGAAACTGTACTCGAGGTGTGACACGAGGACAGAGGATGTTTATTGAAAGAAATGATTTTCTACCCTCCCAATTTCTCCACTCTACGCTTAAAGTTAAAGAAAATTAAACGATATATACAGGGTGGTCACATCTAACTCGCACAAAAGTTGTACTCCATATGTGACACAAGGACAGAGAATGTTCACTGAAAGAAATGATTTTCTACATTCCCAACTTCTCTTAAAGTTAAAGAAAATTAATCGATGTATACAGGGTGGTCACATCTAACTCGCACAAAAGTTGTACTCCATATGTGACACAAGGACAGAGAATGTTCACTGAAAGAAATGATTTTCTACCTTCACAACTTCTCTTAAAGTTAAAGAAAATTAATCGATGTATACAGGGTGGTCACGTCTAATTCGCAGGGAAGCTGTGACACGAGTGCACGAAACGATTTTTTGTCAGGCAAGTAGAAAGGTGGAAAAGGGCGAGGTGATGGGAATAGAACGTGTATTCTAGGGAGTAAGAAGTCTCACGCGAGGGTCCGGCCAAACGACCGGCCGAGCGAACAAGTAATTCTCGACAATTATAAAGTGAGGTCATCTACGAAATTTACGAGATGCGTCGCCGCGGCAAATTAATTTAATAAATTCCTTCCTTGGCTCCCGGTCACGTTGATATCGTCCCGTTTGCTCGCGAGCCCATCGGCCTTCTTTCGGCTTCTCTCCGCTCTGCTCTACTCTTCTCTCTCCTCTTCTTCGCTCTTCTTTCTCTCGTTTCGCGTCACCAGAACGCGGTTCTTGTAACCAACACGACCAAGCTTCAACCCTACTTCAATCCTTTTACTGCATTTTACTTCTTCAGACGTTTTCAAAATTATACACTGTTCTAAGACTTTTACTGCACTTCTAATTTCATCCTTAACACGTGTGACGCACCAGTTTTCATGATAGAACGGTATTACCTACGTATAACATAGAAAAATGCTCAATTTGAGTACTTAACAAATGTTAGGCGTGTATAAGTGCAGGCATCTATCGTGTTATGTAAAACTGAAGAAAATATAGGTATTAAGAATGTAAGTCAAAATAATTCGAAGGATAGTGCTGCAAATTTTATAATCTTTCTTTTCTAATATCTATATCAGATTTACAACTGCCACTGTTCAACCGACCAGCAAATTTGATAATGTGGGTATCGTGCGCGTGTGGACAATACTCAATAGTATTTCCACTCCATTTCCTTAATTATCTTTTTGGTAAATCGTGTGGCCTCGTTCTCTTCGATCTTCCGACTCTTGAAGTTTGTGTCAGGTTTTTAGCCGATAATTAATTTTCCAATTTTCATTTAATTTTTTAATCTATTCTTTTACCTATTTTTAAAAAATTACCGTCTGCCGCACACACACACGTTACGCGTTCAAATCTTCCGCGGTGAAAGGGTTAATTGCGATGATCTTTCCTCGGGGGACACACGAAAAGCCGGAAACTGTTCGATGAAATTTCTTCTCGAACTAATGATTAAGTATCTCCTTTGCATACGTGTAATACGTGCGCAAGTTGGCCGAAATTTCTTACGGCGAGTAAAAGTACAGGGATGCCGGTAGCGTCTTAACCCCGACCGTTAATCGGCTGCATTTTTTGCCGAGACGCGTGACATACGGCGTGCAATTACGTTTATTTGTAAATGATAGGTATAAATTGTTGCTTTTACGAGGATAAAGGATGTTATTGCTAGAAAGTGCAACGAAGCCGCGAGGCGCAGTTCATTTTTGCTCGACGTGACCTTAAAAAAGTTGCTGAGTTATTTTTCACCTTTTCTTGTTTCTTTTTCTCATGAAAGTGAAGAAATTGAAATATTTCTTGGATCGAAGAAAACGGACTTGCGTTTCTTTTTTTAAGAAATTTGTTGCTTTACGTTTAATCCTTTCGCTAAGAAGAGCGTGCATATACGCCCATATAATACGGAGAATTTGTTAACTTATTTTCGTATTTCACGAATAAAATATTGGTGTCGGTAGAAAGTTAAGCAATACTAGAAGGCACTAGACATTTAACTATCATGAAGCAGTTGATTTTCAATCACTATCCTAATTTTTTGCCTGCTTTAAATAATAATTGTTTTATTCAGTTCATAGCGAACACTTTTAGTGTCATTTACCCATTTCTATATTTTCTGTAACAATTTTTTACGTTCTCGTGAAATCATAGTAAATCCTACTCAGAATGCCCATTTTTTAAACATTTTCACGTCGATACACGTTTCCAAAATAAACATTTATGCAACATATTTTAAATATGAAATCTGGAAACAACCTCGGACATTTTCTTTACCAGCACAAGGTTTAAACTTGCAAATAATTATCAACAATTAGGTTTCAACCCATCGAGAAGAAAGAATAACGGAATGTTCGAAAATTTCACACGACTCGACTCGACAATTTTTCTGTTTTCGCTTTTTTTACTTTTACACAAGAAAACACGTTCGTATTTTCTCCCTTTAAGAAGTTCAACTGCGTCGTAAAACGAAGTGGCAGTAAGGTTTACACCGGCTTGTCGTTATTCTTCTCCTTCGACTTACCTCATGAGGAACAAAAGAATTTAAAGGTCAGTCATGCTGGTAACCCGCATGTTCGCTATCTTATCAATAAACATTACCAGCATGGCAATGTGACTGTGCTCCTATCGGCGACGGTTTGGAGTTGATTGTGCTGTTTGAAAATTAAACCTTTTCCGCGCAAAAAGATTCACATATTCTCGCAAATTTCCCGTGAATTACTTAATTTTCTCTAATTAGCTAAACATTCAATTAACAGAATTATATTTGAAGCGTGCAATAAGAAAGTACACATAGACGGGAATTTCCGTGTAAATTTTCCGGGGATTTAAATACTTTTCTCACGATCTTAGCAGGGTGCCTGCGAAATTCTTAATTCTCGCTGATCCAGGCAAACAAGGATCTTCACGATCAAGCTGAATGGAGCACAATAGCCAGGTGGGACAATGTACTAAGGTCTCGCGGAGTTCTCTCCTCCTCGGAACCGAGAGAATTTCCAAATCGTGGGGACACAATGTGGAAACTGTTTTGTCAAATAAATCACGGAGAATGAACTTCAGGGGCTCTGTGAAAGTAACGGTATTTTTACTGAAAAATCCTGTCCCTGTATCCATCTTCTTGCAAGGGACGTCGGTTATGTGTCACACGACGATTTTGATGAAATTTGCGTACGATTTAGCAC